GGTCTATCACTTTGTACATGCGATTATGTTGGAAGTATGTATTACTGATCGTCGTGTTTAGAGATGCTGCGAAATTTACAAGTTTCGTCTTATTATCATTACATTCTTCTTGTATGTTAGAAGGTCATATGGTTGGTCTGTGCATATATTCTTGTTCTACCATAGCGTTCATGTCTTCAATACTCAACTTAACGTCGTTATTGGGATATTGTCTATATGTTTGTTCTAATTTCTCATAGAATTCTTTCATTTATGAGAGTTAAAGAATGTTCCACACGTATTCTTAAAACACATCTATTATCTATAGCGTTAAAAGTTACTAACTCTTTTGCTAACTACAAAGTCTACACCAAATATATGTTGCATTTGACGGCAGCTATAGTATATATATATATATATATATATATTATATATATATATATATATATATATATATATATATATATATATATATATATCTATCTAATTAGACTTCTTCGGTCTATCTTTGGACATATGCCTCCCTAATCCTTTTCCATTCTTCTCTGTCTGTTGCTACAGTCATCCATCTAGAGCCCACGTGCTTCTTGATATCATCTTCCCGTCTCATTTGGGGCCTTCCTCTGCTTCGTTTATATTCTCACGGTCTCCAACTTATAAGAATTTTGTTCAATCGGTCTTATTTTTGTCTTATATTGTGTCCGGCAAATCTCCATTTCAATTTTGCAACTTCTTGTCTTCTCTTTTTCTCTCTTATCAACTCGTTTCTCTTTTTATCCATTAGTCTTATGTGCAACATTTGTCTTTCCTTTATTCTTTGGGTTTTTATGATTTTGTCAATGTTTGCTTTTGTAAATGTCCACGTTTGGGAAACATAAGTGAGAACAGGGAGGACGCATTGATTGTATATTTTGATCTTAAGATGTGTGTGACTTGTTAGCCAAATCTCTGACGAGGTGGAAGAAGAACATGATATACTCGGAAATGAAGTAAGACAGGCTATCAACAAGCTCAAATATAACAAAGCACAAGGTCCAGATATGACAACAGCAGAAATGCTTAAAGCCACAGAAGAAACCGGCGTAAAGTTACTTCATCTACTCTGTAACCAAATATGGCATTCCAAATAATGGCCTGAAGACTGGACAAAATCTACAATAACGACCATACATAAAAAAGGCAGCTTCCATAAATGCGACAATTATAGAACTATCTCTCTTATATCCCATGCCAGCAAGATAATGCTACATATAATCAATGAAAGACTGAAAACATTCCTTCAAAGAGAAATTCCACAAGAGCAAACTGGATTTACCAAAGGTAGAGGTATTCGAGAACACCTGCTGAATATAAGACAGATAATCGAGAAATCTAGGGAATTCAACATCCCACTATACATCTGTTTTATAGATTACCGTAAAGCGTTCGACAGGGTCAAGTGGAGACACTTATGACGAATACTAAAAGAAGTAGGCGTACCACAACATCTAATTACGCTTATAACTGAACTATATGAACACACTACTGGATCAGTTAAAGTACTTGACACACTTTCGAACGAGTTTCATCCAGAACGGGTAGAGATAGTATACAAGGATGTATACTATCTCCACAATTATTCAACATATATGGGAAGTATATTATGCGAAGAGCACTTGAAGGATGGGAAAAGGGCATCTCAATAAATGTTCATAAACTAAACAACCTACGTTTCGCAGATGACACAGCCCTTCTTGCAAATAGTCAAGCAGAGCTGATGGAACTTATACGACTGATCGAAAACGAAAGTCAAATATTTGGTCTGCAATTAAACATATCAAAGACAAAGATCATGATAGTGGATAGACTACACAACAATCATCCACACATAACCACAATTGACCGGTTCGAGGTTGTGAGCTCATACTTATATCTGGGATCATTAATCACAAACACAGGGTCATTACAAGAAGAGATTAAACGTAGATGTGATCTAGCAAAAGTTGCCACAGCAAAAATGACCAAAATATGGAAGGACTGTCAAATTTCAAGAGCGATAAAGATGAGGTTGATCAACTGCTTAATATTCCCAATACTGACCTACGGATGTGAATCTTGGACTCTGAGACAATCGGAGAGAAGAAAGATAGACGCCACTAAAATGTTCTGTTGGAGACGAATGTTACGAATTCCTTGGACCGACCGTAGAACAAATAATTCAATTTTAAGAGAGCTAAAAGTTAGCCAACGACTCTCTAGTAAAGTCCATCTCCAACAATTAAAATATTTTGGGCATGTTATGAGAGCAAACACAGAAAACATGAAAAGACTCATAATATAAGGAAAGGTAGAAGGCCGAAGATCACGAGGAAGATCCCCAACAAGATGGATAGATCAAATTACAGGAACATGCCAAAGACCTATGCATCAATTAAAAGAAATGACCAGAGACAGAGATCTCTGAAGACGGACAATACACGACATCACGTCGACCACTACACTCCCCCTAGGGGGTCAGGATTGAAGAGAGAGAGAGAGAGATCTTAAGATGCTGTTGATATCTTTTCAACTATCCAACAATCGCAGAATGTCATAAACTTAAAATTACACATAATATTGAACGTAACACTACACTAAACAAGGACAAACAGTTTAAAATTATTTAAAAAATAGTGGAAGCTACATTCTGGTCGGCAACAGGAGAGGGAATGAAAAAAAATTGTTAATAGGGCATAAAGATTGGACTCGGTCGCAATGGGATTCAAACAATGGAGTGATGAGTCCAGATTTGAAGTGTGTGTTGAAGACAGTAGGAGTCGCGTCATTCGCAGGAAATCCTTTTCATCCCGACTGTTTGGAGAGAAAAGTAAAATTTCCTGCATTTGTCATGATCTGGGATAGCATGTCGCCTAAAGGTGTGGGAAAGTTACATTTTATCGATGGGATTATAAACACGGACAAATATTTGAATATTTTAGAAGAATCTCTTTTACCGATTATAGAACACCGTTTAACATCAAAACGGAAGATTTTGTCTTCCAACAAGACAGCGCAGGTTGTCATACCTCAAAAAAAAGAGTTTAAAATGGATTATGCAATGGGTTTCTAACAGTCCCGACTTGTCTTTGGTAGAGACTTTGTGGCTCAAAATGAAAAAAGCTTTGAAAAAACATCCTGCTAGGTCCGTCAACAAATTTAATCAAAAATTGCAAGAAATATGGGATTTGTCTACATTATAATTTTGTCAGAACTTGATAAAAACTGTGCCTCGAAAAATTGTGATGTCATTAAAAATAAAGGATATGTAATTCAATGGTAAACTTTCACATTTGTTTTTGTTAATATTAAATATTCTATGAGTTTTTTTAAATTCATTATTATTCTGTTAAATCAATAGTTTTCATTACGTTATAAAATATTTTCTATAATCAGAAAATTCAAAAATGTTATTCGATGCATTAAAACTTCTAAAATTTACGCTGCGCTTATATTTTTGTTCTCTAAAATTTAATTTTCTTATCAATTTAATGTTGGGCCAACTGATATGGGAAAGAGCTAGTACAAGACTGAATGCATATTGATATACAAATAACAACTCGCAACTGAAAATAGCTGATGATCTTGCTATATATTTCGAAAAAAAAAAAACACTCCGGCAATAGCAACTATTTCGAAGAGTTTATAAAACACCTATCGATCTTTTTGTTTAACAGTACACTAGTTTTTGAAGACCAGTATTCGCTCAGTGCGTGACCATGGTAGGGGTACCTTGAAACGATGCCATTGTGCGTAGCGGCGAAATATGACAAAATTGGACCTATCTTTTTACGCATATATTTTATCAAAAATGGGTGCAAACACATGTTGCGTATTTAATTGTGCTAATAATAGCAAAAATAGTGTAGTTTTTATAGGTTTCCAAAGATTACATATAAATTAGAGAAAAGAAAAAGATGGATTTGTGCTATTAATATGAAAAAGTAAATAACACACAATTTAATTTTTATGCAATTGAAATAGTTAAAATTTTAATAATTTACCTTAAATGATATTTCATAAGGCTTCAAGCTAACTGCAGCCTGCCTGATGACTTTAGTTTTTATATCATATCTTTTACTTTTCTTGTTTTCAATTACATGCTCTTCCACATAAAAAACTTGATTTTTCAGTAGGTACTAGATTTTTTCCCTTCTTTGCCCTTTTGGTTGAAAAGATAAATTGTGATGAATTTTTAGAAACCTAGTTTTTAATACTACATTTATTTTGTACATAAACTGAAAAATATAATTAAAAACTAATTATTAATAATTGTCAATTTCGTATGTATTTAACCTCAAATTGGGAGGTCCAAAACTGTAGATGAAGGCAATAGGTGTCGCGTCAGTCACGCACGGAGCGAATATCTCCTGCTGCTGTTTCTTTTATTGTCAATTTTACTACTACGCTACTATGAGTCAAGACGCCTGAAAATGTTGCAAAAATCCTGGCCTGATGGTAAAAAGATGTGGCCTCTGTTTGGGATTTATTAGGAACGTGAATATTATCATTTGTTTGGGAAGAATTGCTACATGTTTACAGTGCTACCCAGTGAACTTTTTCAACAGGCTTAAGCACTTAAGTTAATTCACATTAACAGCAATCTATGAGATGCAGTCTTCACTGTAGATATCTGATATTTGGCATGGTACATGAAACTTAAAGAACAAAACAAAAATTATTGAATTCGTGACTACGTGAATAAAATAATAACATAACATAGAGACTCGAGTGTCAGGTTCCTGAAAGAATTAAGAGGTGAAGGCAAAAGAAGACAATGGAAAGCTTTCTTTTTTAACTTATTTGTTCCTTTTTGCAATTTCATCTTATACCTATTTTATTTTATTTGACTTTATGTACCAATTTCCAATTATAATGTTACAATATGAGAATAATGATTAGATGTCTGGGCTACTAGATTCACTTCCAATCCAGTAATAAATATGGGAATTGTATTATTCTAGCGCGGTATAAATAAAACAAGCTTATTTGTTGTATTTTTTATTAAATTATTTTCACATTTAACTAAAATAATAACTTTTCATATAAATCATCAAAAATAAACAGATCCATCACTATACCTTTCTCCGCAATCGATTTGTTTATTCTGATTGGCCAAACTTAGTTTAAAATTTATAAATACTTTGAATATTTACACAGGGAATAAAAACTATACCAAAAACTTGTTATTTATATAATTACATAAAAAACATGCAAACAATTGGCGCACTAAAATAGTATTCACCAAAATGATGACAGTAGGACAGTAAAAATAGAAATAGTAAGCAGTCATATTATTAAGAGTGGGAGCTCATAAAGTGCAATTTAGTAAAACTACAATAATGAAATAGTATCGTTAAAGCAGTCAGTTTTTACCAGTATTTATAGGTTAAAATATAGCATATTGTGTAAGTTTCTTTAATGACTATTTTATTTCTTATAGAACCAAAATTTCAGCATGGGATTACTATTTAACTGAAGTTTTCATATCTCTATTTTAAAGAATTTTGTATGGTAAGGCAAGTGTGGCATAGCTACTTTAGTTCGAATCTAATTATTGCTGCTGGTAGAGCCAATCAGTGAATAACGCTAATTTAAATATAGCTTTCATATAATAAATCGATGGTGATTATTTTCACGTGCATGCAATTTATTTTAAGTTTTACGTAAAAATTAATTTACAGCAAGTTGTACTACCAGACGTTAGAAAGAATAAGCAATATTATTGTTAAATACTACATAAAGACTATTTTTCAAATTGTAATAAAACTCACAAGCAAGATCATCGAAGCTTTAAGCCTCATTTATCCTGCGGTAATTTTAAATGTTTCTCACAAGTTTTTAAACATATGGAATCTCTTAAGAATAAAATCCATGTACTTGATAAGAAACCAATTATTTTAGAACCGGAAACTCCACTGGCGCTATTAAAGTGTGATCAAACGGTGACTACCTTGGAAATGAAATTACTCAAATTCTTAAATCCAATAATGAAATTGTGAAGTTTTTGTAAAAGAGCAATTACCAGAACAATCTGATTAACAATTTACAATATGTGTAGAAGTATTACACAAGTTTTCACTGTGAAGAATGTCAAATGTGAAGAAAAATGACTGAAGGAAGTAAATGATCTAACTTTTATATGTACTAATTTATTCGTTAAAGAATCCTGATTTTTTTGCAAGTACAAACTTTTTGCAATAAAGTAATGTGGGCCTTCCATGTAATTCTTCAAGTTATATTTTCCTGGGGAAAGCTGACAATCCAGATAAAAGATCCACTTTCCTTTTGTAAGACACATAACAAAAAGAAAAAAAAATAAAAAAATAAAAGCGATGAATACTTGATTGAAACTGACCACATAACATATAAGCTGTCATACGTTATTTATTTAGATGTTTTTACACGTTGGCTTATAAAACTGACACTTAAGCCGTTCATGTCGCCAAATCGGCCAAATTGACTAGAAAACTTAGATACCATAGTACATATAGGTCGTTGTAAAATATAAGAAAGAAAAACCATCACAATATATTAAATACGCTATTGAATTAGAGATCGATTCTACATGAGTGAATTCTACTTACATTCAATAATTAAATCGTCGTCAATATGTTTCTTATTTGTCACTAATTTTTAATTTGGTACACAGTCGTTATTGATTAATTACATAGATTAAGTATTATATAAATACAAAAATTCTTCGCAAAAATGACCACTTCTTTCAACCCAAGAAATTTTCCAATGTGTTTCCTCCCGTAACATTATATTATACTTCATCCCTTGTAAGGTATATATCGTGTGTCAAAAGATCGAGATGGATCTACATATAGGTAACTGTAAACCCAGAAGACGATTAATTCAAATTCTGGCCGTTGAAACCTCCGATTTCATTCAATTACAAAAATACTATCAATATTTCAAGACATTTACTATTATTTTAATTAATGATCACATCTTAAATACACACATGCATTTTAGTAAGAATTATTTTAACACAACTCTTGATCATTATCCATCTCCACGGTTAACCATGATGACATGCGTGAGGCATTGTAAGACCAATTTAGCATTTCATATGAATTTTTACCAACACTGTCTATTTGCAAAGTTAGAAATTCCAGTCTTATAGTTTGCAACGACCTATGAACAAACTAAAAATAAATCTAGATAGATTTGTCAATTAAGTACAATAAAATATGGAAAAGCGTGTTAGCAACGAGCGTGACTTAGATATAAATTAGTGATGTGTCACTTAGTATACTAGTAGAATGACGTACACACTTTAAATTCTAAAGAAACAAGTAAATTTAGAAAGTATTACAGATTTTGTAAATATAGGCCTTCTTAAAGTAAGAACAATATAAAAAAAAGTTAAAATGTACAAAAATTTCTTTCACGTATTACTGAAAGGTGTTTAAATGGGATATGGTTACTAGGAAAACTGATGATCTGTCAAATCAAATGCCATTTGATTCACTGGATTAATACATCCGCAATTTACAAAGGTGTAATTTTTTTATTTATTTTACTGATAGGTGAGTCTTTATTTTATAAATAATCAAAGAAGGTTACCAAAAAGTTTAAATAGTTAATAGTTAATATTAGGTATAATATTTCAACATAAATTGAATTTTTGTTGATTACAAGAAATCTATGTATATTTTGCATATTGTTTCAATTAAATTTTAGTTCGTACAGGTAAAGTTTTGGTACAAAAATGATTCTTTCGGTATTCAAAAGGAGTAACAGTGTTGTATTTTTGAATTCATGTTGCTACACGGTGCAGAGTCACTGGATATGGACAGCACTGGGTACTAATTCCTGACGATTCATTAGCAAGGAACTATGTAGTTAAACCGAGAAACGGTGATTTCACAGTTCACACTTGGCGTTTGTATCATGCATATCTTTCTCACAATGCGCCAAGTGGCGATAAGTACTAAAAAGAACACCGGCTCAACTGTAACAGTTAAAAACTTAGGTCTTCCATGGTCCGATAAAGCTTTTCTGTAACTAAAATTCGTCATTAAGAACGATATTAAAAAACCGACTTTGTGGTTAATTTTGAAGGAAGACTTACATCTAAGAGCATGTTAGTTCAAAAACTCAAGGATGCTAGTCGACTAAGATTTGTAAATAAATGCTACATAGGTTCACTAATTTTGACAACACTCTGTTTAACCACCAAGCCAACTTTCATTAGAACGGACTCATCATAAAGCAGAATTATTAATAATTATTAATTTATAAGAGAGTCCAAAACAGAGCGACCACTTCGTAACTCAATGGTCATATTCTCGGCTGCAATTTCCGTATAAAAGTCCTCATCAGTCTGTATTTCCACGAAAATCAACTCAAGCGAACACTTTTGTCCCAACAGTTTTAAGCATACAGATCAAGAACATGGTTCCAACAAGACGCTACCACTTTTCATACTTCTGATTTCCGAAATGAAGTGATTTCTCTTAGAAGCACCACTTACGGGCCTCTCATGAGTCTGGATCTCAGTTATCTTTATTTTCTTTTGAGATACCTGAATAGTAATAAATACGAGAAGAATTCGACAATTAAAACATAACATCAGAAATTACGGTAATCATGCCAGCATTGACCTTATATACAACCGAAAACGAAAACCTTATAAAACCTTTATGATCATTTATATTTGTTATTTTATTCTATTATTATTAATTCTCAACAATCTGCGATATCTCCGAAATTCTAGTTAACACTGCTACTACTTGCTTCCACATAATGCAATGCATTTGGTGTTCTTTCTCTCGCCGTGTGGCCTTCAGTTTTAACTGTATTACAAATTTTGGCTTGTATTACCAAAAAATATTATGAAGCAGTATTGTAACACTTGAGATAGCATTCTGTATTGAATATTTTTAGAATGGTAAAGCGTTTTCAGCGATAGCTACTTCTCCCACTAATTATTTCTTCATTTCTAGCAGAATAATTATCGACGCCATTTTTTTCCTAAAACCAATGCCTAGTCATGGTAATATGGCGTTAGTTACGTTAAAATGTTTTTGCCAACAAACATTTAAATATTTTTTATTGTGAATTTTTTCCTTCATTTGTTATGGGCAGTTTGTTACCGCAGTCCACAATGATTTCCACATTTATATTTTTGTCTATTATACATAGATGTGTAAAATATGAGATCAAAATATATAAATCTAAGTTAAATATTATGTTTATACGGGATTAAGCTACAATAAGAATTACATTTTATAATAGTTAGTTTAGTTGACGTTTCTAAATCCACTGAAGATATCGTTTTTGAAAGTGATTTCTGAAGTGTAACTCGAAATGTCAAGTAACAATACACAATGTAACTTTCATTATACTTAATTGTGGCTTAATCTCATATATACACCTAATATTTAACTTGGACATGCCACACGAAAACAGTTTCAGATTATAAATCTAACAATAAAGGAAATTATTAATTTACAATAATCATTTATATTGTTTTTATTTATTTTTGCCTCGTTTAAAATTATTCAATGACATAGGAAATGACAGATCCCCTACTGTCATAAATTATTTTTGGATAGCATACTCGCTGTAAGTGAATGTCTTTCACAATAAAAAAAGATATGAAAATTATGGATACAAAGTTCCCCCAAATGATCTGAAAATCACTAGCCTCTACTTACTCGTTTCGTATGGTATCTGATGGACTATATAAAGGTCAAAGTTTACATTCAACACAATATTTACTGATACTCTACACAGTTTTATATGCGATAAAAAACTTAACCTATCATACACTGAACTACACTTTAATTGAAGAATCGTAACATTTACAGGAACTTTATTCTCAAATAAAAGTAAAAACATCGTTTAATGTGAAAGACATTGTAACAGTTGAATAACGAAAAATGCACCTATTTACAAAAATGGTCACAACAACATCAGTCAATTTTAACAATAGAGTATATTTTCCTTACAAATATACTCGTTCCTATGTATCCTACAGTACCACACATAATGCCCAGAGCTCCACTGAAGAGCGCCATGTAACCAAAGTAGAAGGTTGTCTGGAACAGCCCATACATCCTGTAACAATTTATTGTTATTAATTTTTTTTAATATACATATATATATATATATATATATATATATATATATATATATATATATATATATATATATATATATATATATATGAAACCTAGAGCTAAGATTAATATTATTACTAAAATTAATATCAAACTCACCAGTCTTCCGGGTTGAACCGCGTCGATATCCATTTTGCCGAACTTTCGGCATCCTCTCTGCATGCTCTCCTCACAGTAGTGATAGCGCAGTGATCAGTGAACAGTGTAGTAGTGTCTGGGGACTCGGGAGACTGAGACCTCGGAAACCCTGAAGAAGGCATCAGAGAGGATGCCGAAAGCTCGGCAAAATGGATATCGACGCGGTTCAACCCGGAAGACTGGTGAGTTTGATATTAATTTTAGTAATAATATTAATCTTAGCTCTAGGTTTCATTGTACTAACCGCGGAAATCTTTCCGAACATTATATACATATATATATATATATATATATATATATATATATATATATATATATATATGTGTGTGTGTGTATGTATAAAATAGCATCATGATCTTGGAATAAACAAAAATAATTTTGTAAAACTGTTTCTAAAAATTGTTCCCATATGCGTTTACCGCAAAGTTGAGAAAAGGATAGAAACTACTCGATAGCGAAACTTCAATGTGAACAGTATATTGCTTACTTGGTTCGAAATAAAATCCAACCAGAATTTTTTAAACATCATAATATAAAACCCACATTTGATCTGTGGCTATTCATTGGAATTAGCAATTGAATCGAGTCGACTAATAGATTATAAATAGGGTCTTATGGTTCGGTGATGTTTATTCTATGATCGCTACGGAATAGCACAAGATGCTATAAAACCAGAACACACATAGTTTGATTTCAGAAATTGTTTTGATACATAAGACTTTATTTATTAATTTTAATCTAAACGTTAATACTTGATTCACTCGCTCAATTCGGTCTAAAATTGAAAGTTTAAATAGGCGTTAACGTTTCGTGTCGGTCTGAGACGGAGCAGGAGCAGTCGTTCTGAACTGACTACCAGTTCACCAGTACTCCTCGCAGAACAGATTGGGACGAAAAGTTATCACCTACACTTTCTCCATGGCTAATATGAAACATTATATGAATATACAAGACAGGTGTGAATATGGAACAATCACAGAAGCAGCCGCGGGTCAACTGAGAATATGACATAGGGGCTGCAACCATGTCATTAACTGTGGATTTGTTGTTTGAACATGACAACAGCACCACAACTGGAACATACGATGAGATATGTGCTGCGACTATTGCATCCTCAATCACGATGTGTGGCAACATCGTACCCAGACGATGCAAAGGAAAAAAGTTACCTAAGCGTTGCCCAGACGAACTCTGATCCAGTTCAGCAGTGACAGTAGTTCGTCCTAGCTCATGGCAATAAAACGGACATGGACACCAAAAAAAAAGATAGCTCAGCAGAAAAACAAAAAGTGGTCAACAGAAACACCATGGTTTACAATTGATATTAAGAAAAAAAAAACAAAGAAAAAAAGTAGACTAACGGGAAAGATTTACATCGGGTAAGATTTACAAAAGCACTAGATGCGGATTTTTACGGACAACTGAAACAAGAATGGCGCTTCGTAATAAAGCAAAAAAGAAAAATAAAGGAACTGATAGAAATCCAATACATTAGAGAAATCTATGTTCCGTTACTTACAGGAATGTTTACAAAGAGGACAGACAGGTATTACCGGAAGCTCCGACTATAATAATAGATGAAACAACGGAAATACCTATAAACGAAATAACACAAGGAATTCAAAAGGCTTACTTGGAATCAACGGCTTTGAAATTGAGAGTGGCACAGAGACGAATCGAATGGTCTATGCTGGGAATGACGTTGCGTGACCGAATAAGACACGAAGATCTGCGAGGAAGGACGAGTATTGCTAATGTTGTAGAACGCATAGCGGAACTAAAATGTAAAAAATCCTTTTTTACACGTCGTTATAAGGGACATGTGCTCACGTGAGGGATGGGACAGAGGAAACACAACCGAGGCTACAGGATTATACCTATTACATAGAGGGGTCTAAGACAGCAGAAGGGTCAGGTGCAGGAATCTCTAGTAGTGGTGAACTGTAAACATTTATATTTAAATAGAAGAATATACTTCTTTATCCCAGGCAGAGATTTAAGCAACCTTGCATTGTGCAAGCGGAATTAACATGAGGGCTTTTGAACTTAAGCGGATATGTACAGATGGTGAAGCTGGTATGAAAGATAGTTTCAAGGCTATCTAGAAAAACTCAATAGATTGACAGAACACAACACTGTCATAGTACCTCGTATACCGGGTTAGCAAGGTACCCATACAGGGTATCGGGTTAGCAAGGTACCCATACAGCGTATTGGGTCAGCGAGGAATACAAGGCAATTGTAAAACTGATGAACTTGCCAGATTAGCCTCGATTCAGCCACAACATAACTCCCACTTGGAAAGTATATGAGGTCAACTAACATGCGCTAATGGGACTAAATTACCGCGAACAACAAGCAGGAATGTACTCATAATCATAAAAGGCTTCCTTATTGGACATGCGCCAGTCAAGAGACACCAGCAAACAATGGGGCTGTTTCATGGAGACTTAAACTGCAGACTCTGTAGCAGGGAGCCTGAAATATTTTAATATACTTTACATGACTGTGAGGTACTTGATCGCATGCAACAAACACTTTTTGAAAACTACTACGTGACTTCAAAAATATATGGTACCTATCCATTAGAACTAGACTTATACAAGATGTTACTGGATTCCAGCATTCTGGAATGGGTATCCTGAATAAATGAAATATGTACAATAAGCAAATAGTCAGTAAAACTGGTTTACAACAGACGGTTTCCAGAAAAATATGCTGAACAATCATGGATAGAAATAGAATGTACAGCAAATGAATTATAAAACAACGCAATTTCGGTTAGAAGAAATGCAAAAATCATTAAAGAGACTACAGAATAAAGTAGGGAATGAAAAAAATACAGAACACAAGCCACTAAACTTATTTAATTTAACGATAAAGATCTCCCAGTTAGTGTATTATTCCCATTCTTCTGCAGATTGAGTCCGAAATCTGCCATAGTTTTATGATTAAATCGTCTTTGTCAACTAGAAACAACTTTGTCAATTAGAAAGTCTACAGTTGTTAGTACGTTCATAGCAATTCTATGAGTTTTAAATTTGCATGGTATCGGGGCATCGTCATCGATATGACTTAAAAGTTCTGTGACGTATGAGTTAAATATTGATTTGCGAATGTTTATTAAATTGTATAAAATCGGATTCAGCATATCGTCATCGAATTAATATTAGTTGTTCCATATAACAATAAAACACTAAAAACTTTTTTTTTTCAAACCTTCCACAATATTTGTTATAATATTTTATCAGTACATGTCAAGTTGTTGTTTGTTCTTAATGCTGGTGCAAAAGCACTTACACAGTGGTGTATACAAACTTAAATGTGGCGACTGCCCACAAACTTACATCGGTCAAACTGGTAGAACCTTTAATAAATGTATAGCACAACAATATAAAAGGGCTTTCAATAATAGGGAAACAGAGTCTACTTACGGACTTCACCTTCTAGATCATAATCACTCTTTTATTGGCGAATTTCAAATTCGTCACATCCAAAATAAAGGCCTTGAACTATCTTTATTAGAATCTATGGAAATTAACAAATTAAAAAACAGACATAATTCTGAATGACCAACTTGAGACAAGCAAATCTATTTTATTAAAGACTATAAATTGTAAATAAATCCAAGAGTAGATCACTTGAGAAAGGCACTCTGTCGAAACAGTTGTAGTGATAAAATATTATAATAAATTTTGTGGAAGTTTAGAAAAAAAAGTTTTTAGTTTGTTACTGTTACATATATAAAATTAATTTTCATCAGGTAACGGTCGAATCCTTCAGTTATTCTTTGTTCCCATTCCCTCAACCATTTTGTTTTTCCTGCAATTTGAGTTTGATCTTGAATGAAGAAATAATAAGTACTGATTGAAAGTTCTCCAATTCGACAGGCGTGAGGTATCTTTTTTACTATATTTTAAGTTTTTTAACATTGTTAAAAAAATGGCAAAGGTAATAAATTTGGTTAACGTCATATGATAGTAACAATTTTAATTCACTAATAGTTTTACTTACTTAGTTTTGAAGAAGAAGTAGTATATGGCGTATACATAAACATAAGCGGACGTAGAGGCAGCAGCCAGGAAAGAAGTCCATTGCCAGCGATAGTCTTCAGCATTAAGAAGGAAGTAAGTGCAAACAATGGTTACACAAACTGTTACAATCATTAATATAATGAAAACTAACAGCATAAAACCATATACATAGTATATTTTGTAGGCCCAGAAAGACGTGAAGATGAAGTACCTAAAAATAATGTACTTTATACAACATATTTTTCTTTTTAATGTAACAGCTTACATTTCTATGAAGATACTGGCAAACGGCAATACACCTCCGAGTAGAATGATAACGCCTGGTTCCATAAACCACTTCTTCTCCGGAATGGGTCTCGGCACAGCGTTAATACGACAAGGATAGTCTGGTTGACCGGCCAAATTTCTTCCCAAAACTGTGCCCACTAGGGTAAGTGGTAGAATTACGAACAAGCAGATACATGTCACAGCCACCTAGAAGATATCAATATTAATTAGTTTAATTTCATCATAATTAGATTCTAATTTAAGAAGATTGTATTATTTTTAGTAATATGGTTAATAATTGTAATGTGGTTTTATATCAATTAAATTTAAATGAATAGATGAACTCACATGGGCAACCAATTCATCATTTATTATTTAGTTATAGAATAACTCCGTAATAACAAATATGTTTTAAATGATCAATATAAAGTTAGACTAGACTAGACTAAAACAGTGGCTGCTAGACAGGTGTGCAGAAATGGAGGAATTGGAAGAAAAACATGACCACTTTAACATACATAAACTCATTAAAGAAGTGACAGGTCATACAAAACCTTGCAGTTTTAACAGTATTGTGAAGGACAATAAATTAATTACTGATCCCAAAGATCTACTTCAACATTGGAGAAACTATACACAGCAATTATACTCAGACAACACTAGAAGAAACTCTGAAAGTGAATACAAAAGTGAACCCTCCTCCAAAATATTGAAGTCAGAAATTGTAAGGGCAATCAAACAGAGCAAATGGGGAAAACCACCAGGCCCAGACGACATATACATAGAGGTTCTAACAATGTTGAATGAAGACAATTTAGGCGCCTTGGTATATCTTTTTAATGACATTTATGGGTCCGGTCAAATACCTCAGGACTGGCTTCAATTCAACCTTTATACCAATCCCAAAAGAGCCAAATGCTGATAGTTGCGACCAATTCCGAATGATCAGGTTATTGAGTCAGGTCCTAAAACTCTTCTTAAAGATAATTTACACAAGAATATACAACAGATGTGAAAGAGACATTAGCCCCACACAGTTCGGTTTCAGACAAGGATTTGGCACAAGAGAAGCACTTTATAGCTTAACTGTCCTACTTCAGAAATGCAGAGATCAGCAAAAATATGTCTTCATATGCTTTATAGATTACCAGAAAGCGTTCGAATGTGTTAATCATTCAGAATTAATAAGATTCCTCCAGGATAGATGAGAATCAAGTGGCATCTATGAGAGTTGGACTGGAATCTATATCATATTTCTCAATCGAAAAAGGTGTACGACAGGGTTGTGTTCTGTCACTCCTCCAACGACTAATAGATAAAATAAACACTGAAGGAGAACGACTGGGCTTGAAGATTAATATAGACAAGACGAAGGTAATGGTGGTTAAAAGGTCCCCAAGTTCAGATATCTCGGTAGTTGGATAACTGAAGCTCTAGATCCAGACAGAGATACGTACCAGGATTGACCAAGCCAGAACAGCATTTACTAATATGAGAACCTTGCTAAGCAACAGCAGCCTCAACTTAACGCTTCGATATTGCTTTGTAAAATGTTACATTTACTCCATACTGCTATATGGTGTAGAAACCTGGACCATAAAGGCCAATGTGATGAACCGAATGGAGGCCTTTGAAATGTGGGTATTTAGAAGACTACTTAAAATTCCCTGGACAGATCACACAACAAATGTCGAAGTATTAATTCGAATGGGCAGAGAACGAGAATTGCTGCCAATAATAAAAAGAAGAAAAACTGCTTATCTGGGTCATATATTTCGAAATTCCAAGTACCAGTTCTTAAAGCTTATTATGGAAGGGAAGATAGAAGGAAAACGAGGCATCGGAAGAAAGAAATACTCATGGCTTGAAAACATAAGGGATTGGACAAACCTCGATGCTCATGCACTTTTTAGAGCCACGCAAGATCGAGAGGAGTATGCCAGAATTGTCGCCAACATCCACTAATTGGGTGGCGCACAATAAGAAGAAGGCTAAAACAAACTTTTCCCCAAACGAAAATAGAGAAAGTATAATGCTGCTCTGCGTATTTCAGAAATATACCTTCTAAGTAAACAAATGATCCTCTAGTATTCTCCAAGTTTCACTGAAAACAATAAAATGGGCCCAAAAAGTTCATTGTTTTCAGGCGTTACACAAAACCTCAAATGATTTTCACTTTTATAAGATGATTCCACAACACAGTAAACATTCCTACAAATTCTGGTCACCTCTATGTTAGCTCTCATAATCCTAAAATGTTCAAATGACCCGCAACTAAACTACTCTTTTAAGATTCGTTACTCAGGATATTCTACGTCAGTTCGGGTTTCCTCTTCCTTGTATCTTTCCTTGTATAATCAGTAAAGAAATAAATATTTTTCCCTTTTCACTATATGACCCACATACTAAAGGTTTCTAATTTTAATAGTACATATTTGAATCTCACGTTCTCTTGTTCATTCTGCCTAATACATTTATGTATATTTATCATTAAAACGAGTGCGGTGGTGGACATGTTAAATATGATAACAAATAACAAACTGTAGGACGCTCTAGAACTAGGGGTATTGTTCGCAAAAAGTCAAGGTATTAACATAGTAACTAACGAATTGTAAAAAAAAATATTCTCATACTTACCATCGTACCAAACGGTATGGCTCTAGAAGCATGATAATAAATGGCGATAAAGTTGATGAAGAAGGCAGTACCGCATACGAAAGCTGGTAGCATGAAAGCTGAGACGATCATTTGTCTAATCCACACCTTTCCGCCCATCCTAGCATATAGAGATCCACCAAAATATCCATTTATTGGCGATGTAACTGCATATACAAAGATCGACGTTGATAATAAAGATCCTCGCCTAAAAAATGTTTGTATAATTAGGAGTATAAATTAAGATAACCACCGTATGATATAATATAATAATCTATAAAATAATATATAATTATATAGATTATTCACCTCTCGATAATAATATGCAATATTTCATAATAAACCATATGAAACTGAGAAATGTATAGCATAATATATGAAATAAAGTAAATAAAATTATAGTCACTGCATAATTTATGCTTTTTTTTTTCGAAACAATTTTCTATTTGGGAATCGAAACGTCAAACCAAATTTAAAATGTAATTCCCTTTACAATCAATTGTGATTTAATCCCATATTAATGCAATATTTAAACCTGGGGAAGTAAGAATTGACAAAGGTACCTACAGGTTTGAATTAATTTCTAATAAAATAATTCAATAAAAAAAATAATGAAATAACGACATTACTGGAATTGGGGAATTCTTCAACAGTTCACGGTGTCAGGTTTTGTTTTGTCATAGTGAGTCACCTTTTTCAATAAATTGTTGGATAGTAGGTTCATTTTAACCATAATTTGCATTATTAAAATGTGTACAAATTGTGTTTGTACCTATAAGCTGCCTGGAAGGAGCACATAGAATAATATTCTGTAGAAGATCAGGGTAGCTAATTCGTCCATTAATCAACTTGAATATAAAACAACCACTATACTGCGATAACTATTATCAGATTCTAAGACTGGACATCTTCATGAGTTCTATTTCCAGTTGGTATTGCGAATTTCAATGTGGTCGCTCCAGTGTCAGCGACGAATCCAGGCCAGGTTCACCAGAACAGCAGTCACACAGCAAAACATTGATGCGGTTCATCAGCTAAGGATAACCCGTGTAACATACCAAGAGATAGAGGCATCTTTGGGCATTTCAAAGATCTCAATCCAAAAGATCCTACATGAAGAACTGGGTGTTACGAAGATGGTTTCTCGTTGGATCAATCATTTGCTCACAGAAGGGCAAAAAGCAGTTCGCGTCAATTGGTGTCGAAAAACATTGGAATAGATTAACAAAGGAAGCTCAAAAAACGTTAATAGTATTATTAGCGGCGATGAATCTTGGATTTACTCCTACGAACCGAAAAATAAACATTAATCCGCTGTGTGTTTGTAATAAAATCTGGTCATGCGACAACAATTGCTTTAGACGATCGAAGAACGGTGACTTCTGATTGGTAGATTAGTGACACCCTCACTATCCCTACCAGATCAAATTATATTACACTATACTTTTGAAAAAATTTGCCACAGAAATCTAAACTCAAAGAAATAAGTACATGATCTTGTGTTGTTCACATACTTCCAACAGTTGCTGGGATTTTAGTGGAGATTTCTATTGACAGATGCAGTATACTGTTTGTAACATTGAATAGATAACAATTTGCATCTAACTCTTAGCTCTAAAAATGGTTTAAAAATCTCTAATATCATTAGATTGTATGTACCTTTTGGGTTGAAACTTTTTTTGATCCACTAATTTCTAAACTCACGACAAAAATATCGGGGAAAATTAGGATTCCATTTCTTGTAAGAAACAAATTGGTAATACCATCATACAAGATCTCCTAAAATTTGGATAGCATTAAATTTAAACTATCTATAATGTATCAATGTTACTGCAATTAAGCGAAGAAAAACAATGATTTTCCAAATTGATATTATCAGCTATAAGAAACATGATGGAAGTTATCATTACAAAAGTCATCTCTGTTATAAAAATAGAGACATATGTAACAATTAGCTCCTGACCCGGCGAACTTCCTACCTACACCATACCTTAGAATTAAATAATATATCAAAATTCAATAACTAAAAATTAACAAAAAATCTAAGGAAAATACTCTAAAATATTATGTAAGAAAAACGTTGAATAAATTTAATAATAAATAACACTGTCTTTTTTTGCGGTGCGCAAGTATACAATGATGACAGATTCATTAGGGTTGAAATGTCAGTTGGTACTTCAGATTTCTCACATAGGTGGCGCTAGGAGTTATGGTCCCGGACAAACTGCATTTCCGTGTGACGTGTCATCCTAGTTTTTTATTAGATTATATACTGTTCTGAGGCTATTTTCTTGGAGCATATTAATGCAATTTACTATTATTGTGCTGGGAATAAGCCAATTTTATTTTAAAATAAATTTATTTGACATTTCGATTACAGAAGCGAAACGAGACACAATACATTTTATAGGTAGCAGTGTGACTTCTCCCTAAAAGCAATAACAGTATGAACTATGTTGAGCAAAGAATTTATAGAAAAATAAAATGTTTTTTATAGAAAAAACTCGCGTTTCTTTATTAGAACGTTAGACTACTTAGTTATCAAACTTACTCTGTATTGTAAGATGTATGAAGAAAAGATTATAATCTAATGTTTAATAATAAAAAGGACCGTTTTAATTCTAGTAACTTTATTACTAGTGGACCAAATAAGCGAAGATGTCTATTACATCTTTATATGTAAAACATTTTACTGCTCTATTGTGTCAATCAGCGCTGCTCAGCAAGCTTTCGAAATGGTATGGAATATAATATGTTTGTAGTTACTTATACAGTGAATTTATTAACAAACACGTTTTAAGGTTGATCTACACCCCCAAAAAACAAACTACAAATTCAAAAAATTTGAAAAAAATTGAGAAGGTATATGTGACAACTGAAAGTATTTTGACAAATTTTGAACAAACTTCATGTTTTCGTTTTCGAAAAAACTCTAAAAAACTACTTTTTTCCAAGTATAAAGCGGGAAAACCAGACATACAATTTTTATAATTTTTTTACAGCATAAAGAGATAACCCTAAGAAATACTTATGAATTTTTTGAAAATTTTTGAATTTACAGTTTTGTCACAACGGGAAAAAAATGTTATGTTCCGGCTTATAATAAAGCTACCGGTGAGAAACCGGAAAAAATTTTAATAACAACATACATAAAACTGTAGAAGTGGAAAATATTTGCAATAAAACGTTGAATATTTTTTCCTAAACATATGAAAAATCTCGTTAAACAATAATTATATTTTAAATTGCCGGCATCAAATTGTATACTAGAGAGGTGGCTCCATCTCAAACGTTGGTAGTATTTATCATCGATAGATTGCATTACTTTCGGCCTCGAAACGCTTCAAGCGAATCGTCATACTAGCAGGGTTGCCATATCAATTATTTTGTACAACACTTTGACAAATTACAACAAGATTTAATAAGAATGTTATCGGTTTGAATGAATTTTATTTGGCATGCTAGAACATAAAAAACGTATTTAGTTTTTAAAAACCTATTTAGGCGTTTTTAGTTAATTATTTTAGTACTTATAAAAAATAGTCTTGCTTGCATAACATATTAGTGATAATTTTTATAGTATAATATAAGCATTAGTTTTTCTTAAGTAATTCACATTTGTCAACTTGTATTTTAAATCTTGTTTCTCTTAATTTCTCAAAAATCTTCTTAAGATTTACCATATGTTCTTAAAGAGAGGTTGAAAATGTCTCTGTAGACTAGATATATTTCGCCTGAAGTCTTTTTAGTATGTTCTCCATTACCTACTCTCTAAAATGTTGAGGGTGCATTTTTGAGTCCGAATGGCATTCTCAGGCATTCATAGTGGCCATTTTCAACGGTAAATGCAGTCTTCTAAATATCTTCTTCCTTCATTTTAATTTGATGGAATCCGCTGGCTACAACTGGGTGGAAAAATATTTGCAGCGTCCTAGTTTGCCAGAATGTCTGTTATATTTGGAATTGGGTATAGACCATCGATAGTTTTCTTGTTCACCTTCCGTTCCTTCCGTTCCTTCCGTTCAATAGTCGACAACTATTCTCCATTTAATTTTCCTTGGGGCATCTGGTTGCTTTGGAATGACCCACATTGGGGACGACCAGGGCAATTGTCTCGGTTTGATGATTGATTGATCGATCGTCCTTATGGATGTGTGGATACCGATTTGACTTGGTGTAAACCGGAACTTCATCTCTTGTTCGTATATGGTGTTTTATTTGGTTAGTAAATGTTAACTGACTGTCTGAATAATGAAATATGCATGATGCAAACTTCCTGCACTATCGTTTTCGATAAGATTCTTCTTTTGTATTAAAATGATCGGTTCTTAGGAAAGGATAGACATCTCTTAGATTTATTGGTTGACTTTTGATGGGATCAGTTATTGCTACTTGAATATATTCATCGGTGTTATTGACTAGCTCAGTCCAGGCAAGTTGATTACATGCGACGGTGAGAGTTTCTCTTAGGATGGCACCTTCGACTTCTTGTTTTGGGATGACGATTTTACCTGATGTTTCTTTTACTGTAAATTTGACTTGTATAATTGTTTAGGGCTCTTGGTGGACTATATAGAATTGGGCTTTATTTGTGGCATAGTTATTAATAGGAAGAATAGAATGCTCTGTAGTAAGAGTAGCTTGGGTAGAATCGAGATTTGCTTTTAGAAGCCTTACGATTAAGACCATCAAATGTCTTGTGAACTTTGAAAATATAAAACTTTAAGTTAATATTTAATATTATTTTTGTGGAATTTATTTGTTATATCAGGATTAAGAAAAGATTTAGTGGCTCTTGTAACAATAAGAAGTTTAAGAGGGGGATTTTGAATTTTAATGTAATGAAGCTCTCTCTTGTCACCAAAGGAATGCAATTCTACTAAGTTTCTTCTTTTTCTTTTTGAAATCTTTGAAAATTTACACCTTTGTCCTCATATTCTTGAATTTTTTGTTCATAGTAAGAGTAATTTGGGTATGTGTCTATATACCTTCGTTATAATTGCTCTCGTTGTTCGATATTAAAGAGCTCTTCTACCGTGAATAGGGGCCTGACTGTTTTTTTAAAGCGGAAGTTTCTTTGAGATTGGGGTCTATTGCCGGTTTGGCGTGTAAATACGCTAATAGGTGTTGGCTTATATGATTGAGATGGATATGGTTTATGAAAATTGGGTTGGTTAGTTGTAGAATTTTGTGCATATTGAGTGATTT